GGACTCTTCCAACTTTATTATCTCTCTCTCTCTCTCTCTCTCTCTCTCTCTCTCTCTCTCTCTCTCTCTCTCTCTCTCTCTCTCTCTCTCTCTCTCTCTGTTGTATATAGTGTGTTTATATCTAAGTTATGTATGTGTACACTTTTGAGAGTGGGCAACAGAATTTCATTTTTAATGTGTGCCAATATGCCCACAATAGAAAATAACAATAAAGCTTATCTCTTCTCTTACTCTCACAGTTACCCAATAAAGTTTATTTACAAGTGATAATTGATCTGAGACTCTGGAACCTTCGTGGTTTGATGAATCAAGGCTTTCTCATAACCCCTTTTTATTCAGAGAAACAAGGCCAGATCATCACCCACATCTCATCTTATACAAACTGCATCCTTCCATGCTAATTGTGAGGATGTGGCTACTAATCTGGAGAAAATCTTGCAATATGCATTTTTAAGAACTGTGACAAAACCTAATGCCATCTGCTTCTGTTCCAGCAGAAATATCTGAAGCCACAGAAGGTAGAGAAAAGACTGAAGCATAATGGATATGGCATCCCCCTCTCCATCCAGTATCTTAGCACAAACCAATGAAACATCCAGTGGCATAAATAGAACCTGTTATGATTCCAGCATAAATGAAGTACTTACTTTTGCAATCTTGAGTATGCTTGTTTGTGTGTTGGGAATGTTGGGCAACGGCCTTGTGATCTGGCTGCTGGGCTGCTCCATTAAGAGGAACACTTTTGCCATTTATATTCTCAACCTCTCTGTTGCGGACTTTGGTTTCCTCACCACTGAGCTGATTATCGAAATCCACTGGTTTTTTACACACTTGTATTGTGACTTTCCCTATGAACTCTTCCAAACGGTCCTGCTGTTAATGTACAATTTCTCCTGATGGTCATCAGCATCGACAGGTGTATTTCGGTCCTTTTCCCAATTTGGTACCGATGCCACCGGCCGGTGCATCTGTTCACTGCTGTGTGTGCTGTCATCTGGGCCACTTCCTTCATCCTCTCTTCCATTCACTTCACAATTATAGCTGTTGATGGATTTGGAAAGAGTTATACTTTGATGTATCAGTTCATTGTTAATGCTGTGCTTTGTCTCCCACTGATGACAATCTCCAGTGTTACCTTGTTTATCAAAGTCTGCTTCATATCCAAAAGCCAGAGGCGGAGAAAGCTTTTGACAGCTATTTTGCTCACACTTTTCTTATTTTTAGTCTTGGCTTTTCCACTAAATGCCTTTTATGTCATCCTGTACTTTTTCGAAGATATAGATCCCAACTTTGTACATTTTGGCTACTTGTGTACCTGCATCAACAGCAGCATTAACCCCCTGATCTATTACCTGGTGGGGAGACAGAAGGGAAAAACCCAGAAAGGCATCAAAGAGTTGTTTCAGAAGGTTTTCAAGGAGGAGGAACTCTCTACTGATAAACTGGAGACTTCGGAAGGTTCCAAGATCTGAACGTTTTACTTTCACTATTGTCATTCAAAAGATGCATTCGTTTCTTTCTCACCGAGCACATTTTTTTTGAATTTAAAAGAAACTGGTCTTTATGCTGATTTATTTCTGCATTTATCCAGAATTCATGCAGTACAATTATCTTTGTGGAAAACAAAACATTTCTCAAGTTGGACTCACCTATGTAATCAAGTATTACTTGAAGACTAATTAGCTTGGTCTCGTTCAGTCTTCCCCAGTTGGAGTGGCCTTCAATTTTGTGTATTTGAACTTTAATCTCAATCCAGTAGGATCATCGCTAAATTTTCAAAGCTGACATTCACACTTTTGGAAGGTGTCCATCATAGATGCCCACATGTGACTTTCAAAGTATCCCAGGTTCTGTCAGCTACATGACCAAAATGACATGACATGATAATGGAACTCTAGTTCAAGACTATCTGGAGAATTCTCTATCTGTATCTCCATGAGACCAGGGTTCATCAACTCAGTTGAATCAAAAGATGGACAGCTGTTACAACAAGAAATGTTTTCACATTTAAATGAAAACATTTTGGGCTGATTCCAGAAGAAAAGAGAAAAGACTGAAACAATTTAAAGTGGTAATATCTCCAAACTGATCTCTCTTTCTACACACGTATATATATATATATATATATATATATATATATATATATATATATATATATATATATATATATATTGTACTTAGAACAAATGGTTGAAATGTAATTGCTCTAACTTTATTGTCTGCGCATACACATATGAGATTTAAAGCTTTCATATCATTAGGACAGATACAGAAGCAACTGCAACTATAACAGTGCTGTATATCTTTTACAGAAGGAAAAAAAATAACATTATTTACTCAGTGTATTCCCCCTAAAAAGCTAGCAACAAAACATGAAGGAGCTCTGGACTTTTTTAGCTTTCTTGTGAATGTGCAAGTGACTATTTTAGACAAAACAATTTCCTTATGTTTCACGTGCTATGGCTCAATGCAGAGAAAATGAATCTTGCTATGTTATAATCACGTGGGGCTACCCATAAAGACAATTTTAGAAATTTCAAAGGTTGTAGGAAGGGTAGTGATAGCTACTTGGCACTCTGATTTTATTATATTTAATGTCAATGTCAATGGCTGCCTATTCAACTTAAGAGAGAAGCTGTAGGTATCAAATTCCTAAATGGTTCTGGGTTAGCATCTATAACAGTGATGGCGAACCTTTTAGAGACCGAGTGCCAAAACTGCAACCCAAAACCCACTTATGTATTGTCGGGTGCCAGTGGGCATGGCTCATTGGGTGGGCATGGCCCATTGGGTGGGTGTGGCCCATTGGGTGGGCGTGGCCCATTAAGTGGGCATGACTGTGGTGGTAATGGCAGACTAGGTGGGACTAAAAGATTCAATCAATTCCAACTTTGCAAGATCTTTTTTTTCCCACGAGAAGTTGAAATTGATTGATTGATTGAACCTTTTTGTTTTTTGCACACAGCAGCGGAGGTCTAAAGCGAAAAGGTTTTATAAAACCTAGCTGAAGGCCTAGGACTGGGGCAATGGTGCATGTGCCCACAGAGAGGGCTCTGCGTGCCACCTGTGGCACGCGTGCCATAGGTTTGTCACTATGCAAATGCCTCTGCTCTCCTATCAACAAAAGGCAGTTTGCCTCCCTTGGGAAAGAAAGTAAACATTCTAAGTTTTTTGGTTTCATTTTTTAAACTCATTTAAATTACACAGGCATCACAATTTTAGAAATTCATAGATGCTTGAGCCTGCACTTAGCAAGGTTGTTTTAGCCTCAAGCAACTTCAGTTGCACGGAGGGACATTTTTTTTCTTCCAGTAAAAGCTGATGATAGTTTATCTTTTTTTTGGTATAAATTTTATTAGTTTTTATAGGGTTAGGAATAAGGTGGGGTTGGGGTTGGGGTTGGGATTTGGGTTAGGGTTAGGATCAGGGTTGGGGTTTGGATTTTTCCAAATAACATTCTCAATATTTAGCAAGCAGCATAATGCCTGGGTTCATGTGTTTAACAAACAGTAATAGATAATAGTTAATTATCATAAACGATATGTTAATTAATTGCTTGATAGTCTTCTTCTTGCTAATATATATTCAAGGTTTCATATCACATTCCTTTCTCTCTAACTTGTTTTTCTAGCCATTGATAGAAATTTTATATGGTTAAATAAAAGTTTATATCTTCAGATTTGGAAGTTTCTGTTAATGCAGCTCTGCAATAAAGTAGATTTTTGCTCATCTAGCCACGTTTCCTGCCTGGTTTATCCAGGACAGATGACACAGGAGAGGGGACAGATAGTTAAGCACACAGCAACTAAATGCTAGATGAATTGAAGACAAGCCATGCCCAAACAGAATGATGAAACTTCTCCTTTTGCTGTGGATGTCCCTGGTGATGATTTTCAGTAATCCCTGGTGAGAACCAACAACAGACCTCTTTAAGAATCCAGAAAGCTAGATTTCATTGATGAATCCAGTTTGGTTTGTATTAGACATTGCTGTTCTGAGAAAGCAGAATTTATTCAGGATCAAGAACAAAGGTCTAGGTTAAAGAGGAACTTGATTTACATTTTGCTATAAAATTGAAAAGTGAAAGTGTTTCTACAAATGGATGGAAGGATCATTTTTAAAGACTTAATAAATAACTTTTGAAGGAAAAACACACAGCAGACTGAAAGTCTGTCTAATCTCATCCCTGTTTATAACATCTGAGAAAACACTTGAAATGCGTCAAATTCAGATCCACTCAGTTGCAATAATTTCTCCTTTTTCCAAGTCTCATCCTATTCTGTCCTATTTTTTTTTCAACAGAATATGTATCCTAACAGCAATAATAATTAATCAGTGGAATAATTTGCCTTCAGAAGTTGTTGGTGCTCCGGCACTGGAGATTTTTAAGAAGAGATTGGACAGCCATTTGTCCTAAATGATATAGACACTCCTGCCTGAGCAGGGGTTGGACTGGAAGTTCTCCAAGGTTCTGTTATTCTGTATTCTGTGTTTTATAAATGTATAGAGGACAGGCCAACTATGTCAAACTATTTGAGAATAAATTATCTGAAACAGTATCTTTCCCAAATTTCCATGGGTTTAAAATAGGATTTAGGATGTCTGTGGTGTTCGGAAAAATATGAGAAATTGCAAATGTGCATCTATTTTCCTAAAACTCCACCTCTCCTTCCAGATCCCTTGTGGATCTCTTGCAAGTATCTTGCTGGCGAGTGGTAGATATGGGATGTTTATTTATTCTGTCTGTATATGTAATGCATCAGACATTTATTTATTGGCTGCTTCTTGGCTTGCTTTCACGAGTTCTTTATTGTCATCAAGAAAATTGGAATAGCTTTGTCTTAAGAAAAAAAATCCCTTTTAATCACTTAGTTTTCTTTTAGCTGTAAAAAAATTCTGAAAATAATTTAGCATAATTTAGGACTTATTTTATACCTGTTTTGCCTCTCTCTGCAGGTGTTTATGTACAAAAGGAGAACAAGGAAATTGACCTGAGCAAAATGGCAGAGTTTGGCCCTACCTCTTTAGCCGCTTCAGAGATAAAATATAATATGTACAACCATTCAAATTCCTCATTATTTGCTTCAGAGATGAAATATAATACTCACGACAATCCAAATTGGACTGACTTTGAAACTTTCCAATTTTCAAATATTCCAAGTTTTATTAATATTATCGTCTTTAGAGTGATTCTTTTTACTCTCTGCTTTTTGGGACTTGTAGGGAATGGAAAAGTCATCTGGATCCTTGGTTTCCATATGAAAATGAATTATTTCTCCATCTATGTCTTGAATTTGGCTGTGGCTGATTCTGGAGTACTCATAATGGAGGCTTTGATGCAAATATCCCAGATCCATTATCGATATAATTTTAGAATAGATTTTATTTTCTTCCTCCTTTATTTTGTGTTATACAATACTAGTCAACTTTTACTAATAAGCATCAGTGTGGACCGTTGTGTATCTGTGCTTTTTCCAATTTGGCATCGATGCCATCGGCCACCAAAATTGTCCCTCACTGTGTGTGTTATCACCTGGGTTCTGCCCATTGTGTACTTTGCCTTGGAAATTATATTTTCAGAGAGTTTTCTATTGTTTCAACTGATTTTTAATGGTCTCATTTCTTACCCACTGGTGGTCATTTCCTCTCTGATCCTGCTTGTTAAAATTTTCCTTATTCAACCCCAGCTAAAGCGTAAAAAAGTGTTGACGGTAACCTTGCTTTGTCTCATATGCTTTATTGTATTTAGTTTGCCTCTGAGTATACTTTCCATTATTACTTACAGTATACTAAGAAACAATGATTTACATTCGCTAGTCAATGCCCTGTTTGTGAATTCACGAAGAGAAATTAAAGTGAAGTTTGACTTTATTTTAACTAATGCACATAATGTTCTTCCCTGGATTCAACATATAATTATTCTTGTATTACTATCTAACATCTGTATTGCAGTTAATAGCAGCATCAATCCAATTCTTTATTTCCTGGCTGGGAGAAATAAAGAGGATCGATCCAGAGTATCCATGAAACGTGTGCTTCAAAGGGTTTTCAAAAACGAGGAAGACACCAAAGAAGATGGAACACAGCCTAATGAAAGCCAGTTATGAATATCTGTGAAAATACTGATGTTTCATGCTTTGTTGGTTGGGCAATGAGAATGGGTTTTTATTTTTGTTTTTGTATGTTGCAATTTGTTAAATGCAAGCATGTACAACCAGTTGCCACTAAATTTCCCTCACATTTTATATCACGGAGACAACAATAATGTTCCAAAGCAGAAGTTGAGAGAAGCTAACAATTAAGAACCTCTCTCCATCTAAAAACTGAAAAAAGTCCTTGGGACAAAGCTAATGATATGTTTGAATTTGTTATATTTTAATGCAACTTCATTTGTACCATAGAGATTTTCATGTCAAGATGTACTTTTCTGTTTACATGTTTAAGGAGAATTATTGTAAGGATTTGAAACGTCAACAAAGGTTATTCTTAACCAAAGATTGGAAGCCACGTAGCAAGAAAAAAAAAAGATTTAAAATGATAAAAACCATATATTTTTGAAATACATTGAAAAGAAGAAAATCTAGAAGCAAACTTTATTGTGAATTTAAATATAAATATATTATAAAGATGTTAGCGTAATATATAGAATAATACGAAGTCTGATATTTTCTGGATGATCAATGTTATATTTCATTTCTTGGATTATTTACACAGCAAGGTTTCCCTTTTTTTCTATTTCCTGTAATTACTTAAATCAATTTGACATGTTTTATTCCATATATATTTAATTAAATATAATTATAAGTAAAAACAAAACTGATCATCTTTCATGGATTTCTGTTTTTCCCAACTGCCTTCTAAACTTTAAATACCCTCTATGATAGACGTGTCAAACACAAGGCCTGGGGGCCAGATGTGGCCCACAAAGTGGTTTTATGTGGCCTGCAAAGCCATCCTGGAAACAGTGAGGGAACGACTCCTGCTGCCTTGGCCCTGGCCCAGGCCAGCCGGGAGCCAATGTACAATTTTGTGGTGGCCATCTATCTGAAACGCATTCAGTCTTAGCTCCACAAGGCCATCTGGAAACAGCGAGGAACCAGCCTCTGATGCATTGGCCCCACCCCCTGGGTGCTTGCTGGGGAGGTGTCACCCTTTGTAAGGAATGAAGAAATGGACCATGCCTTGGCGCTTGCCGCGGTCCCACCCCCTTCTGCCAGAGACCCTCAGATCTGTCCCACTCCTGCCCAGGCCCCCACAGGCACCCTTAACGTGAACGATGTAGAGCTGGCCATGCCCACCCAGTAGCCACACCCACTCTATCCACGCCCACCCAGTAGGCTGCACCACCCTGGCCACACCCACCCAGCCCCCAAAGGGCAACCACAATGCTGATGTGGCCCTCAATGAAATTGAGTTTGACACCCCTGCTCTATGAGGTTGCTTTAGTTCTTTTTTTTTTTCCATCTTTGGCTAAAAAAAAATAAGTCATTTGATTGATACTTCTCTTAAAAGGGTACATCTATACAGTACTGAGGAATAAAAGACTGACTTGAAGGAGAATTTACTTGTGTTGCTGGTATAACTGATATAAAATCACCTATGCATAATTTAAAATATAAACAGACATTAATGCACCTCAACATTTAAAACTCTTCAAGCTTTCAATTAACTGTCAATTCAAGCTACAACTTAATTTCAAAAGCAGAAGTTCCTAAGCTACTAATGGAAGTTACTAAGTTGATTATAGCGGCTAATTGAATCTCAGACTCTATAATTTGGTGATAATGCTTGGAAAATAGACAACAAAGCATAATATTTAAAATGATAAAGGCTATGGGTTTTTTTTAAAAAAAGTCATCCGGTATAAACTAATATTGCTGCAAAACTATTATTATGAGATAAAAAAAACAAATCGAATAATATAAAGACATTTTCTGTATGCACATTTTATTAACTTTAAAAACCACGAATACAGCATTGTTTATTCTTTTTGTGGTTTTGAGTTTTATAGTTTTGCCTTGTAGATCACATCAATTTTATACATTCTTGCTGAAAGCACATGTTATATATTACATTAAACAACAGCATAAAATATTGGATGCACGGTGTCAGTGACTCTTCACAACTTGTCTTCCTTCGGGATTCCCGGGTCTTCTGGATTTGCCTGCTCATCCTTGAAGACTCTTTGTAGAGCAACCTTGTATGATGCTCTGGGCTGCTTCTTTCCCTTCTTTTTCCTCCCAACTAAGTAATAAAGAAGAGGGTTGATACTGCTGTTGAGAGATGCACATCCTATCCCAATGGTCATCAGGATGAGACAATGAGGACAAAAATATTCAATGACATAAAAGACATTCATTGGGAGAGAAAAAAGGAGGAAGCAAAGGAGAGCCAGCAAGATGGTGGTGGTGAGCAGCTTCCTTTGATTGCACTGTGATTTAGACTTCATATGAATCAAGAGGGTCACAGTGGACACAATCATAATAGGTGTACAAAGCAAACCATTCACAATAAGCTGGAAAAGCAAAGGTGAACTTTCAGAGCTGCTGGTCTGATGGAGAATGAAGTGCACTGCAGAGAGCAGGAAGGAGAGGATCCAGATGAGGCCACAAACCAGGGTGGACAAATATGGAGGACGATGGCAGCGATGCCAGAGTGGAAAGAGGACAGCCACACACCTGTCCAGGCTGATGGCCGTCAGCAGAAACTGGCTAGCAGAATAGGTGAAGAAAAAGAGCTCAAAAATCAAGAAGGAAATGGTATTGACAATGTCAGTTTTTTTACCCAGAAATGACACCACTACAAATACAGTTGCCATAATGAGGGATGTGAGGACCCCAAAATCAGCGATGGAGAGATTCAGGATGAAAGTGATAAAAGAATTCCTCTTAATGGAATTCACCAAAATATAAGTTGTCATTCCATTTCCAACCAGGCCCAAAACACAAATAACAGCAATGAATCCACTGATAACATTTCGTGTCGTATTATCAAATGGTGTATCATATGGAACAGAAATATTCTTAAAGGCTTCATGTAATGAATTCATAACATCTTCAGTTCCAGAATTCTCAAAATCTAGTCCAGGATCCGATCTGTTAACAGAAAGAGAACAAGAGAACAAGAAAGAAACCGATGACCTCTGGCGAGCCCAGGATAGGGGTCATTCCTCTATCCTGGTGCTTCTTGACCTCTCAGTGGCTTTCGATACCATTGACCATGGTATCCTTCTGCGTCGTCTCGGAGAGGTGGGGGTGGGCAGCACCGTATTACGTTGGTTCTCCTCCTACCTCTCTGACAGGTCGCAGTCGGTGTTGGCGGGCGGACAGGGATTGACCCCTAGGCGCCTCGATCACGGGGTGCCTCAGGGCTCAGTCCTGTCCCCCCTCCTTTTTAACATCTACATGAAACCGCTGGGTGAGATCATTTGGCGACACGGGGTGAGGTATCATCAGTACGTGGATGATACCCAATTATATATCTCCACCCGTGTCCTTTCAGTGAAGCAGTCGACTTGATGTGCCGGTGCCTGGAAGATGTGAGGGTCTGGATGGGGGTGAACAGGCTTAGACTCAACCCTGACAAGACCGAGTGGCTCTGGGTCTTGCCTCCCAAAGGCCAACTGGATGGTCCATCTTTAGTCCTGGGTGGGGGCAAATTTACTTCCCACAGTGCAGGCACGCAACTTGGGTGTCCTCCTGGACTCACAGCTAAATCTGGAACAACATCTATCGGCTGTGGCCAGGGGGACCTTTGCACAGGTTCGCCTAGTGCACCAGTTGCGGCCTTATTTGGACCGGGAGGCTTTACTCACAGTCACTCATGCCCTTGTCACCTCAAGACTGGATTACTGTAACGCGCTCTACATGGGGCTACCCTTGAAGAGCGTTCGGAGGCTGCAGTTGGTTCAGAACACAGCCGTGAGAGTGATTGTGGGCGCGCCAAGGTACGCCCACATGTCACCTATCCTCCGCGAGCTGCACTGGCTTCCTGTGGGTCTCCAGACGCAATTCAAGGTGTTGGTTATCACCTTTAAAGCCCTTCATGGCATAGGGCCAGGTTACTTACAGGACCGCATTCTGCCGCACAGCTCCCAGAGACCGGTGAGGTCCCATAGATTGGGCCTCCTTCAGGTCCCGTCGGCCAGACAATGTCGGCTGGCGGGCCCTCGGGGAAGGGCCTTTTCTGTGGTGGCTCCGACCTGGTGGAATCAACTTCCCCCCGAGGTTCGAACTACTCCCACCCTGCCGGCCTTTAAGAAGGCCGTTAAAACCCTCCTGTTCCGGCAGGCCTGGGGCTGATGTCCCGGGGGGCCGGGATATGATCGGACTCGCGGTATGACTGCTTTATTTTATTGTTTTATCATTGTTTTAACTTTGTACGCCGCCCTGAGTCCTTTGGGATTGGGCGGCATATAAACACTGAAAATAAATAAATAAATACATAAACAAAATGAAACCAATCCTTATTATAGAAATAGACAGGTTTTTTTAAAAAAGAAAAATGCGAAGACTGGGGGACAAATTTCTTTTTCGATAATTAAAAGGCAACTTCTGCAATTCCGATTCTCTGTTCTTATATGGTGGGAGAATAACTGCCGTCAATATAAATCCAAGCTTTTTATCCATAAGTCTTCTAGATGCTTTTCATTATTACTTCCAACAATCGTCATTATTGACTATTCTGACTGATGCCAATGGAAGGTAGGATTCCATGTTTTTGAGAACATCAGATCCCTGATGCGGTGGTTTTGTACCCAAAGTCATCAAAATCAAACACACTTGGAAACCAATGTAGCCCCTCTCTGCCAGTTTGAATGCCATGTTGCTTTCAAGTAGCAATGAGGGGCACCAGAAGAGATAGCAATTCCATCTGACATTCCCGCCAACTGTGTTGATAGATTCATGGTTCTTAACACAGTGGTTCTTAACCTGGGCAATATTGCCCCCCAGGGGGCAATTTCATTTTTCAGGGGGGCGATGGGACAAAAAGGGGCGACGCGGGGGCAAAGGAACGAAAAGGGGGTGATATGGGGGCGATGGTGCGAGACTTTTGGGGACACTTTTGAGAATTGCTGTATATCTATCATACAAAAACATCAGATTGCTCGTTATTAGTGGATTGAATTGTGTTTTCAAATGTTCCTCCAGCTAGCTTCAGTACAGAATGCCGTACATATGTGAAGACGCATCGCTTATCTTGTTGCGCATTGCTCAGCAGCCTCTACCCATACAGTGGCACGCCATTGGCCAGAATATGGGAGATATGGGGAAAAGACTGGAAATAAATTATTTGCATCGATATGTCCTGACGACAATTTTAAAGAAAACAAAACAAGGGTTTGCATAAATTGAAGAATTATTTCCTACGTTGTGATTGAGAGGTTATGTTGGGGGAGGGGGGGTGATGACAACTTCCTCATTGGCTCAAGGGGGCGATTCGTTCAAAAAGGTTAAGAACCACTGGCTTAGTATACTAACCGTACAGTTTCGTTATCTTGAGGACTGTCATCAAACCTTATTGATGGAATGGAGGTGATCCTGCCCATCCTCAGAAGATCTAAAGAAAGTAGGGATGGGAAGGAAATTATTGCAGCAAGTGTCATTTCAGCAGTTAAAGACCCCATTTTCTAACACCATGTTAAACTTCATTAAAGTTAAGTGAAAAGCATAGTCAACAAGTTAATAAGCCCAAATAAGATATTACTTTTTTGACTTGCACAGGAGAGATAGACTGCAGAATCCTGCCCTGATGATTTTGTTCTCCTGTGTTGTGCCATGCATTTGTGAAGTGGTTGTTTTGTTTCCCCAGTGTACTGGTCTACACATGTCTTGCTGCATTCCTTCCATTTCCCACCAGTCAATTAGAATGAAAGAAGCTTCTTGGATGAGAAGCAAAATATTTTTTAAAAAAAAAAAATCAAGAAAGAACCCAAGACAATCCAATTGCCTTTTGAAAAAAAAAAATCACCTTTGGGACAACTATAACCTGGATGATTGAGAATTTCCATAGACACTTAGAAGATATTCCTTACCTGTGAGAATCTCTAGTGCTAAAAGGAATTGATGGAATACCAACTGAAAAAATAGCAAGCAATTGAGGAAGAATCAGTGATGCCAACAAAGCTATGCCAACAAATCTGCATAACATCATAGTGGTCATAGAGGAGTGGAGGGGAGGGGAGGGGACGGGACGGGACGGGAGAGGAGAGGAGAGGAGAGGGGAGAGGAGGGGATGGGAGGGGATGGGATGGGATGGGATGGGAGGGGTGGAGAGGGGAGAGGAGGGGAGAGGGGAAAGGAGAGAAGGGAGAGGGGGAGAGGTGGTAGGGTAGGGTAGAGTAGAGTAGAGTAGAGGAGTAGAGGAGAGTAGAGTAGAGGAGAGGAGAGAAAACAATTTCTATTGATAATGTCATTAAACACTACATAAACACTTGAGAATTTCATTATAAGAAATAACCCAAAAGAAGACAAAGAAAAAAGCACATCATTCCGTTTATATCTTGTATATACCTTTTAAAGAAGTACTTATCCAGTTCCGTCTAAATTTAGAAGAAGCCATTGTTTAAAATGTCTGTTCAAGATACTGAAATTTTAAAAAGAAACATAATGGTTAGAATGAAAATGAACAAAACAGCTAATCAATAAAGCATATTTGCTTTCACAAGAGCACTGATCAAACAGAGCTCCAATTAGCTTTTCCATGATTCTGTTTTGTTGTTGTTGTTGTTGTTGTTGTGCTTTCAAGTGAGCCTTGACTTTTGGTGACTGTCTGCAATTTTCTTCACAAGTTTTTTTTGGGAGTAGCTTGTGACGGTCCTCTTTCTAGGCGTGAAAGAGAGAAACTGAGCTAAGATCACCCAACAAAATAACCACAAAGAGAGGAATAACTCAGTCTCCAGGCTTCTGGCCTGGTTCCTTAACCACTGCAACAGACTGGCTGTCTTTCAAGATTGTAATATATGTAAAAGTTTTCTTTACCAAACAAAGGTGATTTCCCAAGAGGCAACTGGACTTTTCTTTCTCTTTGAAGACAGTTTGCTTCTAATCCAAGAAGCGGAAGAAGTTTCTTGGATGAGAAGCAAAACGTCTTCAAAGAGAAAAAAGAAAATCTAATTGCTTTTTTTAAAAACACCTTTGGGCACTTGAATGAACCTTTATTATCAAACATGTGTACAATAAGATTGGCTGAGCCTCCGTCCGTGCCGCCCCATAACTCACAGTGACTACAAACCCACCAAAATATTACACCCTGTGAGCTACTTGCACAGCGCGCCGGCCTCACGAGTCTATCATGCATAAAGTTATGTCCCATTCAAAAGCCTGACAGCCCATGGATAGAAGCTGTTCTTCAGCCTGTTGGTACGGCTGGCTATGTTTCTATATCTCCTACCCAACGGTAGGTGAGTAAAGAGGTACCGACCAGGGTGTGAGTTGTCCCTGAGAATTTTCCTCACTCTTCCAAGGCAATGGGCCCTGGCGATGTCATCCAGTGGTGTCAGGGAACAGCCCACAATGTCTTGTGCCATGCTCACCGCCCTCTGTAATACCTTCCTGTCCGCGGCTGTCAAGCCAGCATACCAAACTACGATACAGTGTGTGAGGACACTTTCAATAGTAGATCAGTAGAAGAAGGTCATGAGTCGTTGCTCTACCCTGTTCTCCCACAAGACCCTGAGGAAGTGGAGTCTCTGTTGGGCCTTTCTGGCCACCTGGGCTGCATTAATATTCCAGGTAAGATCTTCACAGAGGTAGACTCCCAGGAATTTGAAAGAGAAAACTCTCTCCACACAGCCCCCATAGACATTTGCCTTAAACACAGTTTCTCAATTTTTTTGAAAACTATGCCTTACCTAGTGCTTCACTTTGGCTGGTTGCTCAATAAGACGATCAATCTGTATCAAGAACATAAATTATACTGCTCAAGGCTATTCTTGACATTTACTTCCTCTTCTTTCTATGGGTTCGGAGGATATTATAAAATGAGGACTAATCTCACTTGCCTTTTCTCTCCAAATCTGGAAAGAATGGCTGGCTTGGAGCCCCCATCCTGGCCCAGCTCTCAGCTGAAATCCCATCTGCCTTTGCTGCCCGTCTCTGATCCTAGTCAATCTATTTTGATTGGTTTTCTTTTTCAGGAAGAGCTTGGGAAATTATTATTTTTTTCCCAGCTCTTCTTTCAATTTCCAAAAAAGCACAGGATTTCTTCAAGTCAACACATTGGAGAAAATCACTACACACTCATCCCAACGTTTCTTTCAACCTATCCAGAACAGGAGAAGGCTTCCGTTTTGCTTTTCTTGACATGTAACAATTTCCAAGAGCTACACTCTTGGTTTACAACAGGTTTACCTGGTGATGATAGCCAGTCGGTCCAAGGAGGATCAGCTGATCTCTTTGAAAACCAAAAGATGCCCAGAAAATGCAATTTCTTCGATGAATCCGGATTCACACTTTGATGGCCTGTGGCAGAGATGTTTTGAGAAAACAGAATATATGCAGCCAAGGTGGGGAGCAAAAGAGGAACTTCTTTAACCTCTTCAAACTCAGCAAGATAAAGTTTTTTTCGTAATATGCAAAGGAAATGATTAAATATGTGATGATATCTTGGCAGGAGAAGCAATCTAAAAATCTGAGTGAAAACATCCTGTATCCCTGTGGTCACTTAATCAAAATTCAGATGCTGGGCAACTGACTCATATTTATGAGTTGCATTGTCCCCGGGGGTCTTGTGATTCCCTCTTGCGACCTTATGATATTTGTTTTGCGACCTGAAGACTGGCATTTCAAGACAGCCACCTATCTGAAGTAGTATAGGCTCTCCTGCTTGAGCAGGGGGTTGGATAGAGGACCTCCAGGGTCCCTTCCAGCTCTATTCTGATTGAAATTGACAAGCAAAACCAGGTTCATTTAATAACGGTTTTACTAACATAACCATCGCAGCGATTCACTTAACAACGGTGGCAAGACAGGTTGAAGTTTTCAAACTCTCTGTATGGGCAGCCCCACATGGTTATAGTATAGTTGCAGAAGAAAGCTGCAGTCAATCCATGAGAGCTAAACACGGAGAATTTTTGTCTAAAATAGTCACTTGCACTTTCATAAGGAAGCAAAAAAAAAAGAAGTCCAGAGCTCCTCCATGCTTTATGATTAGCTTTTTAAGGAGGAATACACTGAATAATGTTATTTTTTTCCCCTTCCATAAAAGTCATACAGCATGGTTTCTGTTTCAGTTGTTTCTGTATCTGTCCTCAGTAATAGGAAACACTTTAAATATCATTTGTGTATGTGCAGTCAATAAAGTTATCACAAATTGCTGGAATGCAATTGTTCCAAGCACAATATATACTGCTTAAAAAAAAAAAAAGGGAACACAAATGTATAGGATCCTATATGTTTGTGTTCCCTTTATTTTTTTGAGCAGTATATTTACATGTGTAGGAAGAGAGATCAGTTTATATGTAGATATTGCCATTTGAGATATTTTCAGTCTTTCTCTGATTCTTTTCTTTGGGAATGTTTACAGGTATGTAGATTCTCAATCGTTCTGGAACCATTCAAAAATATTGACATTTAAATGTGATTTCATAAGGCCTTGTTGTAATAAATGTCCTCCTTTTGATTTAGCTGATACGGTGAATCCTCGTCTAGTGGAGCTAAGAGACATATCATACTCTGGATAGTGTTGAGCTAGAGTCCCATTATCCTTCTCCATTCGCCATGTAGTTGATAAAACCCGGGACATTTTGGCTTGGCCTTCCTGTGATGAAACCTTTCCAACTTTGAAAATTCTCAACAATAGTCCCATTGTCTAGACTAGACAGGTCAAACTTGCGATGTCATGCGACATTGCGCAATGTATTGGGACGGTTTTGCCATTGCTGGCAATGGGATGGGCGCAGCTTCCGGTTGACGTGTCTGGCCTGTGGGCTGGCAGTTTGACACCCCTGACCTAGACACTGAAGTTCAAACACGCAGAATTGGAGGCCACAGAAGTTGAGGAAGGCAGAACTAGAGCAAGTTGATTCATCTTCAGGTAGGAGATACTTGGTAAAATAGGTTAGTCCAACTTCACAAATGTTTTGATATTCCACAAAGATAATTATCTGCCTAAATTCTGGTTTCATGTCCAAATTAATCAATACAGAAATCAATTGTTTAAAAAATATGGTCATGCTTGGAAAGAAATGAATATATCTTTTGAATGACAATGGTGAAATTAAAGAGTTCAGATTTTGGAACCTTCTGAAATTTCCGTTTGATCGGTAGAGTTTTCTTCCTCCTTAAAAATTCTCTGAAGCAAGTCTTTGATGCTCCTCTGAGTTTTACCCTTCTGTCTCCCCACCAGATAATAGATCAGGGGGTTAATGCTGCTGTTGATGCTGATACATAAGTAGCTACAATGTACAATATTTTTATTTACAAACTTGTGCCTGATTAAATAAAAGGCATTTAGTGGAAAAGCCAAGACTAAGAAGAAGAAAAGAGTGAGCAAGACAACTGTCAAAAGCTTCCTCCTCCTTTGGCTTTTGGATATGAAGCAGATTTTGATAAACAAGATGACACTGGAGATTGTCATCAGTGGGAGACAAAGCACAGCATTAACGATGAAGTGATGCTTCACGGTATACTTTCGTTTATATCTATGAATAGCTGCAATTGTGAAGTAAATTGAAGAGAGGATGAAGGAAGTGGTCCAGATGACAGCACACACAGCAGTGAACAGATACACCGGCCGGTGGCATCGATACCAAATTGGGAAAAGGACCGAAATACACCTGTCGATGCTGATGACCGTCAGGAGAAATTGCCCAGCACTGTACATTAACAGCAGGACCGTTTGGAAGAGTTCATAGGGAAAGCCATAGTAGCAATGTGTAGAAAGCCCATGGATTTCAATAATCAGTTCAGCGGTGAGGAAACCAAAGTCCGCAACAGAGAGGTTGATAATATAAAGGGCAAAAGTGTTCCTCTTAATGGAACAGCCCAGCAGCCAGATCACAAGGCCGTTGCCCAACATTCCCAACACACAAAAAAGCATAGTGAAGGATGCCAAAGTAAGCATCACTTCATTTACGCTGGATTCATTGCCGGTTTTGCTTTTGCCACAGTGTGTTGCATTGATTAGTGCTAAGGCACTGAATCGAGAGGGGGACGTCATATTCATGATGCTCCAGTCTTTTGTCTTGCTTCTGTGGTTTCAGATACTCCTGCTGGAACAAAAGAGAAACAGATGACATTAGCCTGGTCACAGCTCCTGAATGCATATTGCGAGGCAGTCTCTAGATTAGCACTAGGAACCCTGGTGGTGCAGTGGTTAGAATGCCATATTGCAGGCAAACTCTGCCTACAACCTGGAGTTCAATCTGACCGGCTCAAGGTTGACTCAGCTTTCCATCCTTCCAAGGCCGGTAAAATGGGGACCCAGATTATTGGGGGCAATAATGCAAATAACGCTTTGCATTATAAATTATCCAAAGAGTGCTATAAAGCACCATGGGATGGTATATAAGCCCAAATCTATTGCTATTGCTATTAGCAATCCTATCTTCACAATTTGCATGGAATGATGCAATTTGTATGGTTAACTGAGGATAATAATCTGGCCTGGTTGATCTGAATAAAAAGTATAATATGGAAGCCTTGGTCCATCAAAGCAATGATGGGCCATGGAGGTCACCTTCCATTTATGGTTCCATCTGATGTTCTCATGCAGCATGAAAGATTTTTACTTCAAATCTAAGAGAGTGAATATTAAGCAACATGGATTAATGAATGGGAAGGAAGGAAGGAAGGAAGGAAGGAAGGAAGGAAGGAAGGAAGGAAGGAAGGAAGGAAGGAGAAAGGGAGGGAATTTGGTTTTGTTAAATTAAAAGAAAGGGAAAGAATATACAAGATAAAATGAAGATCCTCTAATCTTCTGGAGTTGATGTCTGCACACAGGGAATAGGAGCAAAGAAAAGTTTAATTCCTTTTTATTAATCAAAATGGATCATGGCTTCTGACCATGAATTATGGATCTGTTGCTCCATATTAACATTTTTTTCACAATATATTTTAGTCTTTCTGACTTTTCAGTCCTCTCATTAGGATTTAAGGACATTTTCACGGTCAGTTCAAAATCTAGATTTTTTTGTTTTCAAAAGCATAAGTAGTAGACTCAATCTCCCTTGTCCTTAAATTCTCTACATGCTTCCTTTTTTCAAATCTTATCTATTGTGACAGTACCTTACATATGCTGAGAAGGCAAGTATTAACAGAATAACAAAATAAGCAGGTTGAAAGGGACCTTGGCGGTCTTCTAGTCTAACCCCCTGTTTAGCAGGAGACCCTATATCATTTCAGACAAATGGTTGTCCAATCACTTCTTAAAAACCTCCTGTGTTGGAGCACCCACAACATCTGGAGGCTAGACTGATTAATGTTCATTTTATGCAGAGGAGAGAGAAGATTTTTCAGCCTTTTTTTTTTTTAAAAAAAAGTACAGGAGCCACTATTGGGTTTAGATATCCTGAAATCAACAAACAGTGGAGAACACTTTATCTTGGCAATGGGGAAATACCCTAAGACAGGGGTCTCCAGAATTGGCCCTTTTATGACTTGTGGACTTCAATTCCCAGAATTCCTCAGCCAGGCATGCCGGCTGAAGAATTCTAGGAGTTGAAATCCACAAGTTATAAAAGGGGCAAGTTTGAAGACCCCTGCCCTAAGTCCTTGGCTTAATCAACATTCATTTCATCTTTGCACAAAAAGCAGTGGCAATGGCATTTATTGATCTAGTGTTTAAAAACCAGGATGCTAAAAAAAGAAGTGTCTGCCTTGGAACTGCAAGAATATCTGCAAAATAAAAGGCTTTCTGGAACTGCAGCTTCTAGTTTTGGATCGTGTGGCTCTCACTATCACAGCCAATTTAATTAATGTAATCTCAGGACTGGACCCTCCATTTTGCCCTTGTTCTTGCTGCCCAATCTTACAATTGTCACAATATTACATTACTTCAAAATGAGATTTTCAAACTATCCATTCAAATGGAATAGACACAGAAAGACATCTACTTTGGCCACATTCATAACAAGCTCCATGTATTTTCTCCTTTGCTTGCCTGTACACATTTTGGAGGACATTTTGGTCACCCCATCATAAAATAGATGTTGAGACTCTATAAAGAATGCAGAGAAGAGCAACAAAGATAATTAGGGGACTAGAGGATGAAAAATATAAAGAATAGTTGCAGTAATTAGATATGTCTAGTTAATGATAAGAAGGACTAGGAGTGACATGATGGCAGTGTTCCAATATTTGAGGGGCTACCACGAAGAAGAAGAGGTCAATCTATTCTCCAAAGGACCTGAAGGCAAGACAAAAAGCAATGGATGGAAACTCATCAAGGAGAGAAGCAACCTAGAACTAAGGAGAAATTTCTTAACAGTGAGAACAATTAATCAGTGGAATGGCTTGCCTTCAGAATTTGTTGGTACTTCAACACTGGAGGCTTTTAAGAAGAAACTGGGCAGCCACTTGTCTGAAACGGTGTAGAGTCTCCTGCTTGACCAGGGGGTTAGACTAGAAGACCTCCATGATCCTTCCAACTATATTATTCTGTATTCTGTAAAGAGCTTTCACAGATGCTGGTTCAGCAAGTGATGGGGGAAATTGGGCACAAGAGATAGGGATGGCAGTAGACAGGTGAGAGGATAGTCATTTACATGCCATATGAAGGAGAGTTGTGAAGGAGTGTAATAATGCTGAGTAACTTTTACACTTAGTTTATGATGAAATACACCATCACTACCACTACTGCAAATAATAACAAAGCTAGAACATTAAAGAGGAAAGTTAGATATTTTTTTACACCCAACGTGCAGACATAACTTGATATTTCTTGAGCTTTTCCTAATACTGTGCAGTAGGACTGAAAATTACAAAATCACCATGATGTCTCCTAACTTGGTGAACCCATTAAATCAGGAGTGTCAAATCACCAGCCCATGGGCCGGATGGATCAAACTGAAACTGCGCCCACCCCATTGCCGGCAATGGGGGAAAAGTTGCGATACATCACGACACGTTACGTGCTGTTGCAAGTTTGACACCCCTGCATTAAATGAATCCCAACTCTTCTTTCAAGTTTTCTATAGATATGAGTTCCATACTGAGGGATGACTTGGCTTCCATGCTTTAGAATGTAATTAATTTCACAGCAAGAAAAAAGCATTAAAAATATAATATTCTGACAAATTATTTCCATTTCTCTCATTACAGAAATGTTTTGGTACTATTCTGGAGCATTTACCTTTCCTCTACATAGGTTTTTTTTGCATATTTATTTATATATCAAATTTCTTAACCGACCATCTCCCTCAGAGAGGGGGTCTAAGCAATTACATATACGTAACATGTATAATTATATACATGGTGTGAAATAATAACAATAGTAATATAATTAACAATTGTCAATAAGAAAGACAAAAAAGTCTGGATAGTGGACATGGCAGTGCCTGGAGACAGCAGAATAGACGAGAAAGAACTGGAGAAGATAACAAAATACAAAGACCTACAAATAGAAATAGAAAGACTGTGGCAAAAACAAACAAGGATAGTACCAATAGTCATAGGCTCCTTGGGTGCAATCCCAAAACAACTGGAGCACCACTTGAACACCATTGGCATTGACAAATTCGCCATTAGTCAATTGCAAAAGGTGGCCTTACTAGGAACTGCTTCCATCCTGCGACGATATCTGTATTACCATCAAACATCCACATCTGCCTATTAGGTCCTTGATAAGGACTTGATAGGTAGAACAAAAATGCCAAATCCAGTCTGAATATCTGGCTGATTGTGTGATGATCAACAACAACAATAACAATAATAATAATAATCTCTGCATATTAGGAAACAAGGAAGCAGTCTTATCAATCAAAAATTTTGGAGACAAGGCTGTATTTGATGAAGAATGATAGAGAGAAGAGGAAAAGCTAGTAATAAGCTAGTAACAAGAAAAGTTTCTATGAATGTCTTACCTATTTTTTTTGGAGAAGACCACTGAAAAAAGGTCTCCTTCTAGATCTCCATAAGGTCTTCTTCCAGATGTCAAGATTTTTCTTCCTAATCTCAACTCTGACTTTTGAAGAGCTGTGGCCACTCACTCATTCCTCAGCAGAATCTATTACAGAATTGCTTTATGTATGTTTGAACACATACAGATAGGGGTGGAGACACAATTACTAGGAAATAAGTCTATCTTTTTTTTAAATTGCACTTGCCACAGAATGAGGAACTTCTTTCTTTCTAGAGAACTCTGAAACCATCCTTAAGAGGATGAATGTGCTAATATAGCATTGAAAGAAAAAAATTTCATCAGGGTCCAGTCCAAGCTGGGAATAATCAAAATGGAGACTGCTTTTGAAAGAAGGTTGTAGTTTATTGAAGAGGAGAGCCAGACAGAAAGATGGCTCTGGAAAAAACTTGACTCCATGGAGCAGAGTGGTGGGCTTTTATACCTTCTGGGGCTCTTGAGGCTGTTTCCTGTTTATGTTTGAGGCTTCGTATTTCCAGTGTCATGTACTTTAGCCTGAATCTGAGTGTGCTCCTTTGGCATTGATGAATTAATCCTATTATTTCCTGTCTTAGAGTTTGGGTGTGGCATGTAGATTTTAAGGGTCTTTGTTTTCCTAATCTCTTCATCTTCCTGACTCCAACCTTTCTGAATGGATTATTGAATTTGCATTTCTAAAAGCTGGTCTCTGCCTGGGGGCTGGGGCTGGTTTCTGTCCTTTTTAAAGATCTTCTCCCTTATTCCTTTGGAGAAAATATATTCTGCCTTTTTAATATTACCCAAAATATTTCTTTCTCTGGATTCTTCCCACAAGCTATTTTTCAACAACTCTCAGTGATATGAATTCTACGATAAATGATTCTTTGCAGGCAGAGGGCCACAATTATTTCCTATGTACATCAGGAGTATATTTATATTTGATTTATATTCCATTATTTATTTTGTATAGTTCAGGCTCCCACCATCTATTTTCCATACAAGAATGTCAGGTTTGTGAACTGGATTGAGTTGAATCAGAGACTGATGCCAAATCAACTGTTTTTGAAGAAAAAAACTAGAGTTCACGGTTGTCTAAGGTGCTTTTTTTTTCTTTTGCTTCTCAT